GCGGGCATCATGCTCATCAACAGCCGCGTCGACGGCTTCATGCTTGTGATGCTGCTGCCGGTCGCGACGCGCATCGTCTCGCGCCAGCTCGAGCGCAACTACGGCCGCCTCGCCGCGTCGCTGCCGCTCGAGCAGTGCTGGCAGGCGGGGGACACACACCGCCGCCCCCTTCGAGATCGCTCGAGATTGCTCGAGATCACTCGAGATCGCTCGAGATCGCTCGAGATCGCTCGGGATCGCTCGAGATCGCTCGAGATCGCTCTCGCTCGAGATCGCTCTCGCTCGAGCGCTGGAGATCGCTCGAGATCACATGAGATCGCAGAAGTCATCCCCGAGATGTTCACTCCCGAGATCACACGAGATCACACGAGATCACCCCGCGAGATCACCCGAGATCGCGACGCCCGCAGATGGACGTGCTGGCCCTCGCGGCGACGGAGTGCACCCCCACCCTCGACGCCGCCGTCGAGGCTTCGATGGGCCCCGCCGGCCGTCCGGCGAGCAAGCCGCTCGCCGAGCCGTCGCTGCGCCACTTGCTCGAGGTTGTGCTCTCACACTACGGCGGCGGACGGCCGCCGCGCGGCGCCGACCCCTTCCCCTCGCGGGACGAGTCTGTCCGAGGGGCGGGCGGCGCGCGCGGGAGCGCGGAGAGCGTGCGAGAGAGGTGGGCGGCTCGCCCGACACATCGCCCGCGCCCGACGGCACACACCCCACCCCACCCCCGCAATCCTTGCGCTCTGTCGCGCCGCCCCACGCATTCTTACCTGGGGCCCCGCTCCCTCCGGCCTCCCCCCTTGGCCCTGCTCCGCACACGCACACCTCCCGCCGCCTTCCCCCAATCCTCGCGCTTGGTCCCCGTGCCGCAGGCAGCTCTCAATGCACAGCCTCCCGCTCGAGCCCGCGGCCGAGAGCGGCAGGGAGGCGGGGGGGCGCGCGTCGGCGCCGGCGGCGGCGCCGGCGGCATCGGCGCCGGTGGAGATCGCCGTCACCACCGGCGGGCCTCTCTAGCCGGCGCGCGGGTAAGGTCTGTGTAAAGCCGTAGCACGTACAGTAAGTTACGTGGTTAGAGCGACAGTGGCGCGGTCTGAAGTACGTGTGTGTAAAGCCGTAGCACGTACAGTAAGTTACGTGGTTAGAGCGACAGTGGCTAGCCAGCGTGGCGCGGTCTGAAGTAAAGCCGTAGAGCCGTAAAGCCGTACGTGTGTGTGTTTTGTTCGTGTTGCACCGGGAATATGCACGCATACGTCAGTTACAGTACTCCATCTATGCGACGCTCTGCGCCGCTTGACTCCGGTGTGCCAATACGCCCCTCTTTATAAAGCCGCACAAAGCCGTGTACGGCTTGCGCGTACTGTAAACGTACGGCTTATACATGTACGGGCCGGCGGCCTCCATAGCGTCCATACCAGCTCAGCAGCCGCAGTAGCCCGAGGAGCAGTCGCCGGTCTGCTCGCTGGTGGGAAGCTCCCACGGATCGGTCGAGTCCGAGCCCTCAGGGAAGAACTCGTTCGCGTAGCAGTCGTCCACAAAGTCGTGCTTGACGCAGATGTCGTAGTACGACTTGGTCGTGATGAACTTGTCGATGCACGGGTTGACAATCTTCGACAGCCCCGAGCCGCGCTTGGACATGGTGAGGGTCGTGCCGTTGAAGGCCGTCTCGAACATGCCGGTGTGGATGTAGGCGAACTTGGTGCCGAGCCCGCTCCACAGATCGCAGTCCCACGCGGGCTGCACGTCCTTGTCGGCGCAAGAGTACGTGTACGCCTGGTCGGCGTACACGAACATCGCGTCGGCCTCCCCATCGAGGAGGGTCTTGAGCGCGCGGTCGTTCTCGTTCTCGTACCTGAGAAGTAACAGAGTAGTAACAGAGCAGCCAAGCGCGGAGGACAGGAATCCTTTCGCGGCAGTCAACGGCGGGCCACTCACGCTGCCAGAGTCTCTTCCGAAGGCGTCACCCACTCGTATCCCGAGAAGGCCGTGTTGCCCGTGCACGCGTTCTTGGTGACCTGGATGGGCGAGCGGCGCGCAAATGCTAGTCGGGCAGCGCCGGGTTTGGGAGCGCGGGAGAGGGTTGAGTGGAGAGGGTTGAGTGGAGAGGGTTGAGTGGAGAGAAGGCGGCCGGGCCGAGCGTACCGCGAGGCCATCTTGGGTGGGCGCCCAACCGTTTACGTCGACGACCTTTCATAGGGAGAGGCGCAGGGAGTTTTGGGCTCAGGAGCACATCAAATCGGGGGGGGGGGGGGGGATAGGCCGCCTTGAGACCGGAGAGGTCCGAGCTGGTGCTGACTTTCGGGGTGCCGGTCTCGTCGAGGGTGGTCAGGAGGCCGGCCGGCTTGTTGTTCTCGAGGATGGAGTGCGAGAACTCCATCCAGCGGGGGCGCGAGCCAATGGTGTGCGTGTAGGTCATGCAGCCGTGGTACACGCCCGCCTTTGCGTCGGCCCCGATCTTGTCGTCGGACCAGCAGCCCGCCCACGTGGCTTGGGTCACTTCCACCTCAATGTCGCAGACCTGTTCGGGATGCATGGGCTGTGTGACGCATCTGTGCTGTGCGGACCCTCACTTTTCGGTGGAGGAGCCGAGGAGCGCGGCGATGCAACAGGCTGACACGGAGCACGCAGGGGGTTAAGGGCCTCCGCAGTGGTGCGCACCTCCGACAGGCCCATGGCCACGTCCTTTCCGAAGCCAGCTACAGTGTAGTCTCCTTCTGGCGGCATCGCCAGATAGGCGTAGGGTGGCCAATCGACGTCTTGGGCGAGAAGGATGCTCGGCTTGGTGGTCCCGGGCATCTTGCCCGGGATGGGCGGCTCCTTGGCGGCCGTCTCGCACGTCGCGGGCATGCTGGAGAATCCCAGCGCGGTGGTCGCGAGGAGAGCCGTCATTGACTCGCTTGCGAAAGCGCGCGCTCACCAGTTTCACAGACCAGCGCACTCTCGAGTAGGACGTATTTTCTTCTCAATAACAAGGCTGTGAAAGATCGCACTCTAGGCTGGGTGCACCAATACATGTTAGTTACGGGGAGAGAGAGAGAGGAGAGTTCGTACACGGGTATGTGCTGCCTGCGTCTGGGGACGGACGAGGGGCATGCACAGTGCGAGTGGCGGACTCCCCCTTTAATTTTGTTTTTTAAATTCAGTTCTGCCAAGAACAAAGACTGAAGCCGTAAAAGGGGCGATTGCGCTTTATCGTGCGACCCCTCTACAGTGGGTTGCGGGCATTAAGAAAACGTAGTAGTAAGAAACCACGCCGAGCGATTTCCGCAAAAATCTAAGAAACCACGGCGCGCCGCAGACGCGGCCCCGAGAAAAGGCCAGAAACGAGTGTGTGATTCACTGTGTGTGAACGGGAGCCCCAGCTCAAAAATTTCTCTTCGCCTGCGGCGCGCGCACTTGTCACTTTCCAAGTCTGCGGTGTTCTGAGTGGAGTGGATGGAGGCGTGTGTGCGTCTTCCCCCGTCATCCAGAGAGCCGACTCAGCGGCAGACTCTGGCATCCGATCGCCCTCGCGGACCGGCAGCTTACAGCTTACCTCTTACTTACCTAAAAATCCTTCGGGCCCGCCGGCTCTGCTGGCTTGAGTGCCGGCCGGAGCTAAGAAACCACGGCGCGGGGTGGATGACGGCTGTGGAAAGGCTTAGAAACGGCGGCGGCGTATCGCGCCATCCTGTTTTCTTAATGCCCGCAACCCACTGTACTCGGTATGCTGACCAAAGAGCCGAGCCAGCGTGAACCCAAGCCTTCGCGCCGAGCGGGCGCCACGACCTTGTTTGTGCCTGATCCTCGCTGGCTTGCTCATTGCCGCTGCCCTGACGCCCAAGCCCCCGGCATTCAACGCGTGGTGGGACGGCTGGTTTCCTGCGGTGAGGGAGATTTTCTTTGGCCCATCCGAGCTGCCCATGCACGCATCTCTGCGGCACATGCAGCGATTACTCTCGGCCCGGGTTCAACTACTCTTGCGAGTTTGACGTTGGTGTCCAATGCGCCCACGGGCTCCATTGCTTGCCTGAGGGACAAGCGCTGAATGCCGTACCGCGTTGCGCTCGCCTTCCATGGCAAGCTTGGCGGGTGGGACAAGGCGACACCGGGCGCGACCACGACCGATGAGGTATTCAACCTGTCCGTGACGTGCTGGCAAGAGAACGTGCTGCAGCGCGTGGCGCCCGGTGTGAAGCTGACGGTTTTCTTGCACTCGTGGGAGGTGAGATGGGAAGGGCGCCTTCGCGCCGCGCTGCGCCCGACTCGCTTGCGAATCGAGCCACAGATCATGTTTCGCCCCCCCTCTCAGCTGGCGACCCGCTCGTTTTGGTATGGGCGTAGAGCGGCAGTTCAGCTTGCACGCGACTACGAGGAGGAGCATAATTGGGCGTTTGACCTCGTTCACACGGCGCGACTCGACTCGTGCGCATGCTCGCCGTTAGGCTACGGGCCGCACCTTCTCCCACCACCAGTGGAGCTGGCTGGACCGGGCGACGTAACGTATGTCGGACCAAAGGTCGCGGGAGAACCACGTGCTGTCACGTGGGCTGGTAAGCATGGCACCACGTTTCTCAAAGGGGCAATGAGCGCAAGCGACTTCTTTCTGATGGGCAAATCGACCGCAATCATACGAATGGGCACGTGGATTTTGGAGAACCTCGGCACGGAGCGGGCTCGGTGCCCGACAATCTGTTCTGATAATCACAAGGTCGTTGGCGCAGCCTGGAAGCATCTCTATAACTTGAGCACATGGAGTGTGGACGCGCGTGTGATGCTTTCGCCGTGGCTTCAGGCCGCAACTCTGCAAACGCGGCGAGCCATGCCCATGTGTCGCGGCCTCACTGATCCGAGTGCGGCTCGCGCATGTGCGCTCACGTACGGGCTCGCAAACGCGAAGTGCTCCGTTTTGGGGAGTGGTCGTCGGGAGCTGCAAGGCAGCAGTGTGGCTGCGTTGCGGTCGTACTTCAACATCACAGGGCAGGCGCCACCAGTACAGCTTTGACGTCCATCGGTAGTGAAGCGCCGCCGTGGAGCATTGTCTGCGCTCACTATCTGTTCACGGTGCCTGGGGCTAGTTTTACACTGAGGGTTGTCTTTTTCTTTCTTTCTTTCTTTCTTTTCTCGGGCCCACAGACATCCCGCACGCCCCGCGCGCGCCCCACCCCGGCCGGGAGAAAGGGGAGTGACAGTTTGGGGCGGAAAGTCGAGAACCTCGACTCCATTATTTTTTTAACTCCTTGGCAGCCGGGAGGCGCGAACGGAGGCGGAGGGGAGGCGGAGGCGGAGACGCGGGCGGAGAGCTGGGAGGCGGAGGCGGAGACGCGGGCGGAGGCGGAGGCAGCCCCGGCGGCGGCGGCAGCGGCGGAAGCGTCGGCGGGAGCGGCGGCGAAGGAGGCTCTTGAGGAGGGACGGCGACGAGCAGGAGGGCGGCGGTCAGCATGCGTGTTCTGTGTTTGGGAAGCAGACGGCTTCACTGGACTGTGGCTGTGGCACGAGCGAGCACGTCAAAGCCTTGGGTTCGTTTTTTTCTTTTTCTTTTCGGAGCTATTCTTCACACCTTCCTAGTCCGAGCCTGGCTGTTCTTCACCTTCCTACCTAACCTAACCTCCCTCTCTTCTTTGGGGTGCATGTTTTTTCGCGGCTCTGTAATGCCGGCCTTGATTTCTTTCTCACCCAGTGAGTCCGCCACTCTTTTTCTTCCTTCCACCTTCTGTACGGATTATTTTACGGATTATTTTTTTGAAACAGCCGTCTTTGACCATTTCGCGTTCGTTTGACCACAACCGCAGGTGACCAGCCTGGCTGACCGCCTGGCTGATGGAATTGCCGAGCCTGCTGCCAGAGTTGTACCAGCCGGATGCCGCGCCCCTGAACTGGCTCGAGGAGGCCGCGCCATACGCCTCACGTCTCGACAGAGCATAAGCCCTTGGCGTGTGGCGAGACGAGTTCTTCGCCATCGCAGCGAGCAGCAAACCACTCGCCGCAGCAGCCGGAGGCATCGCCGCAACACTGTCTGCGCCGCACACACACACACACACACACACACACACACACACACACACACACACACACACACACACACACACACACACACACACACACACACACACACACAGCAGGTTCAAAAGAATAATCGTCTCTAGTGGGCAGCCACCCCCCACCCGCCCACCCTACCCTACCGGGCAAAAAGTTGGAACCCCGACACGCGCTATCAAAAGCACGCGCTGCTCGTCCCCCCACACACAGGCCTCTGCATCTGGCCTCCTGCCTTGCCCTCTTGGCGATTGCATTTCGGCTCGCCTGGTGGATTGATCTATGGAGGAAGCGCCTTTGGAGAAGAAGAAGACGCCCAGCATCAGCGCCTGCTGGACCGGCATGCAGGACGAACTCGAACTCCTCGACATGAGGATCGGACTCGCAATGCCTGGCTTCGGCCTCAAGACGATCACTGTCATCGCGTATTTATTCGCGTGGACTGTCGCCGCCCTCGCCCTGCATTGGGAGCGCTCCTACGGCTGGGCAGGCTTCGAGCTGTTCTTGCTTCTCTGTGTCGTCTTTGTTTACTCCTCGCCGAGCGTCAAGCAGTCACTGCGTCCAATCCAGAAGGAGCGATGCGGTAGTTGCATGCATGCTTAAGCACATCCCGTAACGCGTAACCATCATTGTGGTACTCGAGTTTAGGCGCTCCTGCCGTACACCCGCGATCCTCCCCGCTGGGCCAAGGCCACCATTGCAACGCTCGTGCTCGGCGCCCACCTTGCTGTGATCTCGGTCCTCCGCACGAACACGTGGCAGTCGTGGGTTCCCGTCCTCGGCCTCGCCATGCTCGCGGGCGGGTGTGTGCTCGGCTCCACTCACCGGTCGGCAATCTCCGTGGGCACCGTTTCCACCGGATTCGCGCTGCAGTTCTGGTTCGGCGTGCTCGTGACGCGGACAGACGCAGGCTCGTGGGCGCTGTCGTATGTCTCGTGCCTGATGACGACCCTTCTCAAGTACGCGGGGCTTGGCGCCGCCTTTGTCTTTGGCGACGACCTTCTCGCCTTCTTTGCCTTCTCCGTGCTCCCGATCATCCTCTACTTCTCGGCAATCATCTCCCTCCTCGCGTACCTCGGCGCCCTGCAGGCAGCCTTATACACCGCACACCTCCGTAGAGCCTACACGACCACGCCTACTCTCAATATGTGGTGTGCGTAGCGCCGTCCCACTTCTGTTTGTCACCCCTCTTGCCTCCTCACACGTCCTCAGGTGGTCTTCAAGTATGGGGGAGCGGCTCTCGCCAACTTCCTGGCGGTCTCGGAGGTCGAGGGGATCGTCACAGTCGCCAACGTGCACTTCTTGCCGATAGGGGATCCCCCATATACATACATCTCGATTCTCGGCCGTTCGATCGCGCGTCCCTAAAGTCGCCAAAAGTGGCGGCGAGTCGCACATTGCCCGCCCGCCGTCCCGCAGCTCGCGCGAATCTCCCTCTTGACCCACCTGTGACATCACTAGAAGGGATCCCCACATTGAGCGCCCCGCTGCGGGTGACTCTCTCCCGCGTGGCTGGGCGTAGGTGTTCCTGTCCATGACCGAGGCGCCGCTGCTCCTCACCCCGCTGCTGCCC